TCTGTGAGAGCCAGAAATCTTGCTTGTTTGTAGGTGACCAAATACTTATTTTCCACCATAATTTGCAAATAAATTCTTTCCAAATCAGCCAAAGTGATTGTCTGGATTTGTTTTCTCTTTTTGTCTCTCATAGTTGAGGTCTACCTATGATGCCAATTACAGGCCTCTCTTATCTTTTTAAGTGGGAGAACTTGCACAATTGGTGGCTGACTACTTTTTTGCCCCACTGTACATGCACATATAAATATAATGCATATGTAAGGGGCACCTAAACATGAAAACATCAATTGTGATACACCTGTTACAAATCACTGAGAAAGCCAGAGTGAGAGCAATAATTGTAAGCCCATCATTCGTGATTAACTCTAAACTGATGACCTGCAGGGGCTTTTACAGTGTTTCCTGTGGAAAATATATGGTACTGAAATTTGTTGGCATTTCTTGGGTGAACAATTTTAAGGTTTGACAGGTTGGTCAATCTTTATCTTCTAAATTTTACTAAAAATCTGGCAGTTTATTGTGTTTGTGTTACTCTTTAGGGTGGGGTTTTATGTAATCTTCAGGTATAAAATAATTTTTTAAAAGTGTGCAAAAAATACAGGAACAGCTTGGGTGGTAAAAAAGGATTTTCTCGTTGCTGTATTTCAAAGATTTTTTTTATTGCTTTATTAAATGTGGCAGTGCCCAGCTTCCCATGAACTTTTTTTCCCAATAGCTTGCCCATTAAGCAATTTAGAATATTCATTTAAATGGCCAGAATTTAGTATAAACATTTGCCCCTATTAGACTTCAGTAGGACTTGTTGGTAAGTTTGGGTTTTGCAAATTTCAAGCAGGTTTCAAATATCCCCTGGGATTTAAGCCCTGGCAGATTCACCCAGTCCTACACATACGGTCAGGAATACTGTACATCACAGATGATCTTTAGTGGTTTTGTAGGTGTTTCTTAATCAAAGAGGAAAGGATAGACATAATCTCAAGCAGGAATCATGTTGACATCAATCCTTTCTCAGGTACCCATTGCTCTGAGCTAATCAGTGGGGGAGAAATGGCAAAAACCATTCTAGGCATGTTAGGTTTTTTATAAAAAGGAGGCAGGGAAAGAGCTTGATTTTATGAAACATTGCCCTGTTGGAGTGACTACCAAGTGAGAGGTCACCCTGCTGAAAGATGTGTGACAGACTACCCTTATTTGAGAGAGACTGAATTAAGGACTGCAGTGTGAGAGTCTGCCATGTGAGTTTGCTCTGTTAGAGATATTCCATTCACGCAGAAATCTTTTACAATTTGAGGGTAAATTCTACTCCTGTTGGTTGCTGTACATCTTTTTATTTAAAGGGCCACTATAGTGAAGAGTATTGTATTCTGGTAACTGTATGTGATTAATACTTCTAACAGTGGTATTCAGTATCCAAATTCCTGTTTTATTTCACAAGTCTTCATTTTTTCACATTTACATGTAGAGCAAGCTGTCCACTGAGGATTACAATGGTGTGGACAAATCATATAACATTGCCTGAATGCTTTATTTCAGAATTATATTTTTGTTCCAAATAAAAAAAAAAAAAAAAAAAAAAAGAACTTGCTGTAACTGCATACAATGTGTTTGCTGGAGTTAAGCTTTATTTTTTTTTTATCACTTTAAATCTATATAAAACAACACTCCTATCCTATCCTAAGACTATCCTGAAAAAATCTATACTGGATGAGGGTGTGTTTTCCTACGCACCATCTGGCCAATTGATGAATCTAAAATATATATAACCTTTATTCAAATACATTTTTTTATATATGCTCATCTGTAATTTATGCCTATTGGAGTGGAATGTACTGCGCACAACAATATGACTGGATACCATTGCAATTATTTACCTTACATCCAAATGGTTAATAACACCAGACCAAATCAAATATCATACCATTTTATATGAAGTGATGGCATACAAAGAGGCACTGTAGTTTGATCATAAGCCTATCATCTTGAATATATAATCTCTGTTAAGGAAATGGAGTTACCCCATGGACAAAATGAATTAGAATAATCTATCTTGCTACAAATATGTAATACGGGTACACTCATCCACGGACTTAAATGTCAGCCTATCATGGATAAGCCCCATACATCACCATATCCACTCAAAAATACCTCACTATCTTGAGGAATGCAAATGATGCACTGTAAAACGAGTACAGACATCTCCAAAAAAAGGGGGGAGAGGAGTGAATACCATGTGCATTCAAAAAGTGCTCCCAGAGCACCCAAAGAAAAAAAAAAAACTCTACATGTTTTGCTCCAGAAAACAAAGCTTCGTCAGGAGTATAAAGAATTAAAATAGGTCACGTAGTGGCTGGAAGTTGTGCTCAGCTGCACATGGTGGCAATATGGTGAATAATTGCAATGGTATCCAGTCATATTGTTGTGCGCAGTACATTCCACTCCAATAGGCATTAATTACAGCTGAGCATACATTTTTTATATATTTGAATAAAGGTTATATATTTTAGATTCATCAATTGGCCACATGGTGCATAGGGAAACGCACCCTCGTCCAGTATAGATTTGTTATTTGCCAAAGATGATGATTTCCAATTAGGGCTTAGTTCAATAGTCTAAGACTATCCTGGCCACAGAGTGACAACATTGCTAGGCAATTTTACTGCAGAATGAACAGTGTTGTCTCCCTCAAAAAGGAAGTGAGGAAAATAAAGGATCCAGAGCCAGGATTGACAAGTACTAAAACCATTTTAAAGGACCTTTCATAACATGTTACATCCATATTCGGGATCTGTCAAAATAAAAACAAAACACAGCCATGTGGGGCTCCACCCGCATCACTCATTCACATTCTTCTGTGAAGGAGAAACTACAAGTCCTGACAGCCTTAGCAGCTGTCGGCTTGTAGTTCTCAATGAACTACCAGGGCACTATTGAGTGCCGTGGTAGTTAATTGATTCTTCTAGCCAGTATATCTGCTTGCTCATACATCCTGTATGGGTAAGCAGATAAACCAACAGGCTTGCAGGAGCCCTGCATGCCACCGGTGATCTGCTGATCGCTGGTGCAATGCTTTAGAAGCTCCAGAAACAAAAATAATAAATGCACATTTTTTTACCTGGAAAAAAATGTGCATTTATTTTTCTGGTACAATAATTTTTATTGTTGCATGTGGTATGTCAATAAAACTGGTTGCTCATGCAGGGGTATGGAACAAAGAACAGGTAATGGAAGCCTGAGCGATGTCAACTGCAACATTTCTAAACATTACAAAATACCTACAGTGCAGCTGTACGACCAAAGTTGTAGGTCCACCTAAATGACCCAGGTTTGGGAACCTGGGAGCTCAATGCAGTACATTTTATTATTTGTTTAGCAAAAGGTGAACTTATCCTTTAAGAGGAACTCATAAACAAAACCTGCTACTGACAGCCATTATCATTTATGTCTGTTTTTCCATATATACACTTTAAATGATACACCTCTTTTGTAGATAGCACATACTGCTAATTTGAAGTCAGCTTGGTTTTACTTCTCTTTGCAGCTGTATGTATTTGCAATTTAACTAATTCATAGTTAAACTCCATCTTTATGTGATGTTTAATTTATCTTTTTTTAAACATGCTGTAGCCTACAGCTACTGTATATTAAAATTTTTTCCCTCTTTCTAAGTGACCTCCCTATTACTATAATTGGCATGTCATATGGTTGCTTAGTAAAATATTCCAAATAAAGATTGTTCAAGGCATCTTCAAATTTTATAATAGGACCCCTTTAATTGAGTATTAAATTGTTTTTAATATTTCTTACAGACCATATTTCCAATTCATATCACATTAAAAAATGTACTATTGAGCTGCAACTGATGTAAATTAAGTCTCATTTCTGAAAGAAACCATAATCTTAATTATCCCAATCATTGGTGATAATAGCCAATAGAAGAGCTCAGAAAGTACAGCATGGATTGAGTGTTATTTTTGTCCTTAACCATGGAGTCTCTAGTTGGCGTTACCAGCACTGTTCTCAGAACGCGACTGAATAAGGGCTCCTTTATGGTTCATTTACACCAGAAGCAGTCAGGTGCATTTTAAATACAGCAAAACCACAGTACAAATGCATGTCCAAGAAAAATGATTGTATTTCAGTTAGCGTAGTTTACACTGCAGTGCGCTTACATATGTGTTTAAAAAAAAGTAAAGCATGCTACATTTTTCTGCCCTGGAACACACTAAAATGCACCACAAATGCACATAAATCAAGCAAACACACTGCAAACGAACATGAACATATGCAAAGGCATATAAATGGAACTTAGTAAAGAAAATAAATGAAAAACATTTTTTAAAAATGCACTGCAAATGCAAGTAAAATCAGTGCAAATGTGCATGCAGAAATGCACAGTGAACAGAGCTTGTGGTGTAAATGAACCCTTAGGCTAGGTTCACACTGTTACTGGTGCAGGAAAAATCATGAAAGAGGGACTTTTTCATAGGTAAGTATAGAATGCTGCATTTTTACATAATTGTATGTGAATGCACAGTGAACACACTGCAAACACATGTAAATGATGTAAATGCAGCTCAGTAGAAAAATACATCAATAATGCCAGAAATGTGCTCCAGACGCATTACAATTGCATGTAAGCGCACATGCAGAACTGCACTCTGGATTGCACTGTCAATGAGCCCTATAGGGACCAGCCTCATTCATCTGATATAAATCTGGTCTCTTATCACCCCTAGAAATGAGTTTATTGAACCATCACATAGCATGTCCATTCTTTACACATAACTGCTTTTGACAGGACCACATTGATTTTGGTACTCAAGCCTCGCCCAGCAGCTTAGTTCCAACTCGTGATTGGTTGAAGGTTTATCGCTGGAGGTGCATGGCATGCCATGAGCAGGAGCGGCTATAAATGCTCAGTGATCGATGCTATGAAGACACAAGTGCCCCCCTCCCATCTGCTGGCTGTGTCTGATGCCTGTGCCCCCAGCGCCTGCACGATGCCGAGGGGATTCCTGGTGAAGAGGAATAGGAAAGCATGCGGCTCATACAGGATCCCTTGTGAGGACAATGGCTCAGCCCAGCTTCTTCCCATGGTGGACATACTGGCAGCTTGTAGCCCCATGGTGCCCACAAGTTCAGGGGGGAATGAGCACGAGAAGCAACCACAAGCTGAAGATGCACCCCAGCAAGTGCCCACTGAGGTCCCCCCTTTCAAAGCTGGAGGAGGCTTGGAGAAAGCCTGGAGCAACCTTCCATACAGCCCTGTGCAGCCTGTGGGGCTGGAGATGAAGAAGACTTTTTTCAAGAGATATCTCAGCTCTCCAGCCACAGCAGAATCCTTCCCTGTGAGCGCTGCCTTCTCCTCCATGGAGAAACTCCTCTCCCAACACCCCTTCATCATCCCCCAGGAGTCCAAGCTGCATGCCAGAGAAGCGGCCAGGTCCACCAAGGTCCCATCCAAGAAGCACAAAGCCAGCAGGAAGCTCCACTTCCCCGATGAGGTCACCACCTCCCCAGTGCTGGGCTTGAAGATCAAGGCGGAGGAGCCCTCTGCTACTTCCCGCAGCCCCCTGGGCAAGCGCCCCCCGCTGGGGGAGTTCATCTGTCAGCTGTGTAAGGAGCAGTACCCGGACCCGTTCGCTCTGGCTCAGCACAAGTGCTCCAGGATAGTCCGCGTTGAGTACAGATGCCCAGAATGTGATAAGATATTCAGCTGTCCGGCCAACCTGGCCTCGCACAGGAGGTGGCACAAGCCCCGGGTGATGGGGAGCGAAGTGGGGAAGAAGGTGCAGATGCCGCTGGAGGGCAAAGAGAACAGCAACGGGCGAGGCGCTGCCATCAGCCTGATAGAGCAGACCGGCCGGCTTCAGCACCAGCACAGCGTGGACAGCTCGCGGCTTCAGCAGCACCCGAGTGTGGACAGCTCCCGGCTTCAGCACCAGCACAGCGTGGACAGCTCCCGGCTTCAGCATCAGCCCAGTGTGGACAGCTCCCGGCTTCAGCACCAGCCCAGCGTGGACAGCTCCCGGCTTCAGCACCACCCCAGTATGGACAGCTCCCGGCTTCAGCACCAGCCCAGTGTGGACAGCTCCCGGCTTCAGCACCAGCGCAGTGTGGACAGCCCCCGAGGTCAGCACAAGCCCAGTGTGGACAGCTCCCGGCTTCAGCACCAGCCCACTGTGGACAGCCCCCGAGGTCAGCACCAGCCCAGTGTGGACAGCTCCCGGCTTCAGCACCAGCCCAGTGTGGACAGCCCCCGAGGTCAGCTCCAGCGCAGTGTGGACAGCCCCCGAGGTCAGCACCAGCCCAGTGTGGACAGCCCCCGAGGTCAGCTCCAGCGCAGTGTGGACAGCCCCCGAGGTCAGTACAAGCCCAGTGTGGACAGCCCCCGAGTTCAGCTCCAGCGCAGTGTGGACAGCTCCCTGCTGACCGCTCCGCTCCTGCGCACACCGAGCCGGGAGGACAGCCACCCTCCGGGCTCACAGCCCACACCTGGGGAAAGTAAAGAGGAGGAGGAGGAGGAGGCTTTTCACTGCCCGTACTGTCACAAGAGATTCCGGAGACATGCCTACCTCCGCAAACACCTCCTCACCCACCAGCCCTACAGCCCCATAGACAGGGGGCAGCTCACCTACCCCTGTGCCCTATGTGGGGTTCACTTCCCTTCCATGGACATCAGAGACAAGCACAGGCTATGGCATGCGGTGAGAGAAGAGCTGCTGCTTCCTCTAGAAGAAGCTCTGGTGGCTGAAGGTGGTCAGCAGATCTTTCCCTGTGAACTTTGCCCCACTGCCTTCTTCAGCTCCCCTGGACTGACCCTACACATGAACAAGTGTCATTCTGCAGAGAGCAGACAGGACCTGCCAGCACCAATCCCACTGGGACCTGGCTGCTGAGAGGTCCTCTGAAAGTGTATGTATGGCTAAAAGTTTTTTTCCTTTTAAAACCGAACTCCAGAAATCCTGAAAGTCCTTCCTTGCAGTGGGGATGCCCCTGCATTGACAGGGTAAATGTTAATTTATGTCTAGAACCAAGTAAATCACTTTTACTTACCTGATTTTCCACTCAGGGTAGGCTCCTTCACCCTTCTGGACCAGCTCAGGCAGCCTCTTCTCTGAACTTCAGCAGTCTAAGGTCCTCTGCCACCATCAAGACTGATGCATCAGATGTGAAGTTTTCAGGGGACAGTCCAATGTCTGAGCATGATGGGGCAGAGGATCAGGCAAGTAAAAGTGTTTTACTTTCCTCTTAAGGAGCAAGTATCCCTTGCAGTATGGACACAGCCTCATTTCCAGGGAGGATCTTTAATTTACCAAGAGTTAGGATTCATATTTTAGGAACAGAAGATAAAATCCCTGTCAGTTTATTTTTTGCTATCTCTGACCATGTGGTGAGACTTTCCTTCACTCCCTAGTTTTGGAGATGCAACTGTGAGTTAGAGAAAACTACTAAATGAAGGGAACTCCCCTCTTAGACAGGTGTCACCAGAACAAGTTTCCCTATGGAAAGATTAACCCTCGTGTTGTTCTAGTGATAACCATAAAAGATAAGATCTCCCACCACTTTGTCTTGGTGACTGGTTACTAGGAGAAACATAAAAGGTTAATCTCCCCAGCAAGGACACAGGTAGAAATAAAAACCTGCCAGAGGTTCAGATCCTTCCTCACTCCAAAACCTTGGCTGTACATACACCATTATATTTGTTTTATGTAAAAATACGCTAGCATCATCAACAAATCTGTAAGTAAGAGTACTCATATCCAGGACCTGATGTAGTATGCTATTTTATTGCATTTATTATTTTCAGTCATATTTTCATCCTTATTAGGTTGAGAAATGGCTGCCTCTCATGGCTTTAAATGGGGCAGGGAACACAAAGAGGGAAGGGGAATATCTTCTGTGAGAGTCAAAAATGAAAGAGCATTTAAGACCTTAAACTATGCAGTATGTGCTTGCAGTTTTTTTGTTTTTTTTTGCAACGTGGGTTTATCGGTCCTGTAAAGATCATGTATCCCAACAGCACATCTGCCTAAAAGTAATTATTTTTAAATATTCCAATTTAGTCAGTTTGCTTTAGCCTTTAATTTTTGACAACCTGTCAATTTCCAAAACTTTCTTGTCTAATTGTAATATTTCACACTTTGGAAATTCTAAAGATTATGTGCAAGTCCCACTTTGGATCTAAGTATTGCTATCCAAAGTCCCAATGTGTATGTTACCAAGGTAAGAGCTTGCCAAAATTTTAGATCTTACGTCAAAGGATATAAACCAAAGTTTATGTATGCAGTTTGTGTTTCTGTGTGACAAAGTTTAGTAGTTTCATAATTTTGTAATGTTTTCAATGAGAAAAGCTTTAAGAGTTGTTAAATATGGTAGATTTGGTTGATTTACAATAAAAAAAATTTTATGTAACACCTTGCCATGGTGAACTATCCTAGAAGTAGATGTATATGTTTATAAAATAAATAATTTCATATAAAATGCCTCTAAATGGCAATAAAAGCCTTTTAATTTACTGGTGTTTATTTATCTTTTTTTGCTTGATATTGTAAGACCTCATATTATTCTTTTGTCAGGTTGCACCCAGCCCCTATATCTACAAACTTTAAATTGTATCTTAAACTAACAAGAAAAATGTAATTTATTGCAGTTTGCCAGTTTTCAGATGTGGTGGCTGGCTCACTGTTCTGTGTTTATGGAGGAGCAACACTATAACTCTAGACTGCTCTCCTGATTTGGGCTATATACACCCCCTATTTATTTCCATTAAAAAAAAGGGGATGTGTACTGTAATTCATAGAAGATGACTATTAAGGCCGATAACACTGTCTTAGATCATCAGTTCAAAGAATGTTGCAAGGACACAAACATTTTCAGGAGGATAGACAGAAATGTTATGTATGCAGAAAAATGTTTTTTGCTTGAAAAAAAACCCCAAAAACAAATGCAGCTACCAAATCTAAAGACTGGTAAACTGTAATATATGGAATATTTGTTCTTAAGTTTAAATAGAGTATATGTTAAAGGAAAAATACACTTTTCTACATAAAAACACATTCTCTTCACTTCTAGAAGTATCGATTTAAAATAAACCTGCCACAAGAGAAGCATGGTTGCTGACATTAATGACCTCCTTTTGAAAATGACAGCTGCCTGGCTGTTATGCTAAATCAGCTAGCTTAAACACTTTGAGCCACTGTCCTGGAAGAAGTATGCAGATAAGAGAAGTCTTGTCTGGATCAATGGTTTCAAAGTATTGGGGCAAGAATTCAAGTCAGCCAGGCAACTAACATTTCCAGGAGTTCAGCAGTAGCAGTCCCCATGTTTGTGTCATAACCAGTTTCCTTTAAGCAGTATGTTCCATTCTCCCGACTAGGACACAACCTTCCACTGAGATTTTGGGATGAATGGATCACTTTATCAAATCAAAGCGTTAAACATTTATTTACAGAATCCACATAGAGATGAACATTCAATTACAAGGATTTGCCATTAGGAAAATGTGTATAAATGAAATTGATTATTTTGCAGGCTTGGACAATATTTTAAATGCTTACTGTATACTCAGAACTACTGTGCATATGGAAATACTAATTTGTTAGACCTGAAAACCAGCAAGTAATGTTTGCCAGGTTAGTGAGGTTTAGGGTTGATTGTGACACTAACATATAGCTGATGGGTGAGTATTAAAAATGCTAAGCAAATAAAAACTAATTTAAAAATATATTAGCATAACACTTTTAAAAATGCAAGGTATTAATGAATATGAATTTATCCAACTTTGGATGATTTACAGTTTATGTGCTTTTTGCAATCCATTACATTTTCTCATTTAAATAGACCCCTTACCCTGGCCTAGTCAAAAAGGCACAGCGTAGAAACTTATAGCTACCAAACAATAACTGAAAGTGTACTTTCATAGATTGGTATTCAGAAAACTGACTGGTTATTTTGGACTATTGCAATTTAAACTGCATTTTGCAAACAAAAAAGTGCTTACAATCAGCATTAATATTAATAGTTGGAAGTATGGCACTCAAATGGAGTTCCTGCCATATAAAAAAAATACACTTTTTGTGCTTTATTCAGTGAAATATACTGGCACAGTAGAGATATTGCTGCCATGCATTTCTGAGGTCCTGAATTCTGAATCCACCAATGTGGATCTTACAAAATGTGTGGTTGTAGGAAGAGTGTTGTGAACACAAATGCTTCATTATCTGTTATAAAGCCCTGTGGAATATTTTAATGTTGTCTCTATAAAATGTGATCAGTGAACAGGTTGCAAACATTATGATTTTAGCGTACATGTCAGTGATAAATCTTTTTAAATTTTGCACACACATGTTAAATTGCACAATTAAATATCCCAAGCCTTGTATATTTTCTGAAAGCAGAGGACCTATAGAATAAAAATATGGTAGAGACATTACTGCAACTGTTTATCAGTTAAAATATTTTCAGTAAAAATACTTAATACCCCAAATCTTCATTTGGTGATGCTTTAAACCTCTTTGTAACTCATCAGTTTAGAGTTAACTGCAAATAATGGCCCTAATATACAGTACTGTGCTGCGAAACAGTGTGAAAAAATGCTGTAAATTAGGAATGCTTTCAGAAATAGAAGTGTTAATAGTTTTTTTTTATCAATTAACAAAAAGGAAAGTAAATGAACAGAAGAGAAATCAAATCAATATTTGATGTGACCACCAATTGCCTTCATAACAGCATCCATCCTTTAATTCTTCTAGGTACACATGCACATAGTTTTTGAAGGAACTCAGAAGGTAAGTTCCAAACATCTTGGAGAACTAACCACAGATCTTCTGTGGATGCAGGCTGCCCACATTCCTTCTGTCCCTTCATGTAATCCCAGACAGACTCGATGTTGAGATAA